ACGTTCTCCCTGTGTCTGTGTGGGTTTCCGCCAGGTGCTCCAGTTTCCTCCCACAGTCCAAAGCTGTGCACGTTAGATGGATTGGCCATGCTAAATTGCCTAGTGTCCAGGGGTGTGTAAGTTAGTTGCATGAGCTATAGGAAATACAGGAATAGTGTTAGGAGGTGGTTCTGGGTGGCATGGCCTTCAGAAGGTCTGTGTGGACTTGTTGGGCCAAATGACCTGTTTCCACACTGTGGGGATTTGATGAAAGCCAGTAAGAAAGAAAATCTGATGTGGTAGATCTATTATAAATTAGCTTGGATAGCTGGTTCACACTGTAGGGTGACATTAACATTAAGGTTCAATTCCCACATTGACTGAGGTTACCATTAAGGACCCTCCTTCTCAACCTGTCCCCTTGCCTGAGGTGTGGTGACCCTTAGGTGAAACCACCACCAATTGTCTCTGTCTAATGAGAGAGCTGCCCTATGGTCCGGTCAGACTATGGTGACTTTACTGTTTACCTTCTTTTATTAAAGGATGGGATAACACAGTGAAAGATGACTTTGGTTCAGAAAAATGAAAAATAAGTTTCTGGCAGAGATACGAAAGATCAAAGGAAGGAAGTCACTTGTGGAGGTTGTTATAGACCTAGCCACGCTCGCCCCAACCTCCCAAAACAACAGCTGCATTGAAGGCCTGTGTATATATGAAGAAATAATATGACTATGCAAGAAAGGTGCAGTGATAATCATGGATGACTTTACCCTTTGTATAGTTTAGATTTATCAAATTGGCAAAGCTGGCTTGAATGGTTAATTCATAAGATGCATTTGGAACAACTTCTTAGAGAAACATGTTCCACAACCAACCAGGGAGCAGGCTGCTTTAGACCTGATAATCTATAAACATCTTGATAATGGAGTGTTTAGACAACAAGTTATCAAAGCAAGATAGCATTTTACATTTGGTTAGAGGGTGAAAATCATTGGTAAGAGGGTAAGAACCTTAAGTGATGGCAATTTCAAGGATACAAAGGCAGAGTTGCCTAAACTGGACTGGAAAAATAGGTGAAAGGGTTCAATGCTAGAAAAGCAGCGGTAGGTGTTTAAGGAGCTATTTCATAACTTTCAACAAAGATATCCATTGAGATAAAATGTCTATGAGAAAGATACGCCATCTATGTCTAACTATGGATGTTGGGATAGTCTCAACCTGAAAGAATTTTATGAGGATTCTGTAAGACAGAGATTGGACAAACTTCAGAAGTCAGCAAATGATGACTTACAAAAACTGTACAAAAACATACAAGGAGGGAGAAACTAGAGTACAAGAGAAAGCTATATAGAAAGATTTTTTAAAAACTATAAGAAATTCCAGAAGTATATTGAAAGGAAAATAACAGTTAAAGCAAGCATTGGTCCCGCAGAGAATGAGTTTTGGAATTTTTGGGCAGAAGGGTAAACAAGGAAATGGCGGAAGTGTTGAACAGGTATTTTGTATTCATTTTCACTGTGCCAAACAGAAAAAAATCCCAAAAATTGAAAATCAACTGAGAAAAGGTATTTGAAAAACTACTGGGACATACCATTGATAAGCTCCCTGTACGTGACAGCATGAATCCCAGGATCTTACAAGATTTGGCTGCCTCAGATAGTGGATGCAAATTTAAGCTTCCAAAATTTCCTAGATTCTGGAAAGGTCCCAGTGAATTGCAAAACACAAATGTAGCTCCTCTATTGAAGAAAGGCAAGAGACATAAAAGAGGCAACTAAGTCAGTAAAAGGGAAAATGCTTGAATGTATTTTTAAAGGAGTAATAGCAGTACAATAAAACAAAATCCATGATACAGTCAGGCAGAGCCAACATGGTTTTGTAAAAAGGAGATCATGTTTGACTAATTTATTCAATTTAGGGTTTGAAGAAGTAACCAGCAGGGTGGATAATGGGGATCCAATGGATATGAATTGGGATTTCCAATAGGCATTTGATATGATGCTGCATAAGACGTTACAGGGGATAAGAGCTCATGGTGTTGAGCTAACATATTCGCGTGAATGGAAGGATGGTTGACACATGTAAGGCAGAGAGTTAGGATATGTATGTCTTTTTAAAGTTAGGAAACTGTAATTAGTAGAGTGCTACAGTAATCAATGCTAGGACCTCAACTGCTTACAATCTATATTAATGATTTGGATGAAGGGAACAAACGTATAGTTATTAAATTTTCTGATGACATTAAGATAGTAAAACAAGTTGTAAAGAGGATGAGAAAAAGAAAATTCTGCAAAAAGATATAGATAAGATAAATGAGTGGGCACAAAAATGGCAGATGGAGTATAATGTATGAAAAAGCTTGCTTACTTGGGAAGGAGAGTTAGAAAAGTATAATTTTATTTAGTTGGAGGGAGACCACAGTACAGAAGGACCTGTGTATCTTTTCATGTGAATCACAAAAGGTTAGCGCATGGGTAGAGCACTTGATTGGAAAGGCAAATGGAATGTTGGCCTTTATTGCAAGGAGAACGGAGTTTAAGTGTAACTATACAGGGCCTCAGTGGGAAAAAATCAGAATTTGTCTTCGTACTTCATAGAATCACAATTGTTATGGTGCAGTAGGAGGCCATTCAGCCTATTGTGCCTATACAGTTTCTATTATCTAGTGCTGATCTCCTGTCTGTTTCCCATATCCCTGCACACCATTTCTATCCAAATAACCATCCAATGCTCTCCTGAATGCCTCAGTTGAACCTGTCTCTACCACACTTCTAGGCAGTACATTCCATACATTAACAACTTGCTGTGTAAAAGGTTTTTTTCCTCATATCACCCTTGCTTGATTTGTACGTCACTTTATATCAATGCCCTCTTGTTCTTTTCTCTTTTACTAGTGGAAACAACTTCTCCCTACCTACTCTAAGCTGCCTACTCATAATTTTGAAACCATCTACCGTATCTTCATATACTTATGAGAAGGGATGCAATTTCATTGGAAACAGTTTAGAGAAGGGTCACTCTGCTGATTTCATGAATGAAGGGATGGTATTATAACCTCTTGAATAGATTAGGGCTTTATTCCTTGCAATTTAGAAGAATGAGAGATGGTTGCATTGAAATATGAGGTTCTGAGACTTGACAGATTTGAGCTGTGAGAAAATTTCTCCTTGCAGAATAGTCTAAAACTAGGAGTCATAGTTTAAAAATAAGATGTAGCCATTTAGGATGGAGGTGAGAAGAATTTGTTTTTATGTTAGAGGATTGTTAGACTTTGGAAATCTCTTCTTTTGATTGCTGTGAGGAGTAGGTCAATGAATATATTCAAACTAAGACAGTTTTTTGACAAGTGTATGGGGGCAGACTGGAAAATGGAGTTAGGGCTACAATCAGATCAGCCATGATCTTATTGAATGGTGGACCAGGGTTAAAGGGCCAAATGGCCTACTCCTTCTCCAGTTTTCTATAATCTTATAAACTTGTAGTATTGAAGTAGCTATGGATGAAGCTCCAAGGGAGCTAGAAAACTTAGTCAACTCAACACTGACCATCCTCAACCAGTTCAATGACAGCAATGAGCAAAAGCAAGAGAAAATTGAACTGCAGAGCCAAAGGACCAGAGTCAGAAGAGGTCGTTATCGAACTTTACGTTGCTCTGCTAAAATAGAAAAATTCTACGGATGTTGAAAATCTGTGATAAAAACTGAAATTGCTGGAAATAGCAGGTTTGGCAGCATATGTGGAGAGAGGAACGGGTTCAATGTTTCAGACCATAACATTTTGTCAGAACTGGAAAAATTTTGAGATGTAAGCAGGATCAGAGACAAGAAAAGGAGATGGAGTGAAAAATCAAAAAATAGAGCAGGAACCAGGAAGGATTACTTTTAAAACAGGATAATGCTGCAAGGCAAAACAGGGGTGGTAATAGGACAAGTTTAAAAAAAGGATTGGTCTAAAGTAGCTGTAAATGGGGTGGAAGAATCATGAACAATTGCTGCTTCAGGTTATGACCTGAACATGTTGAGAGTGGTAGGCCATAAAGTGCCTAATGCAAAGATGAAAGCTTGAGTTATGTCAGCTTTTGTTTTTTGATTGCCTGCTATCTGATGGATTACTGTATTGATCCTCTGTAGATGGTACCAGATTCAAAGTGAACTGGAATAGAGACAATGTGTGCTCTAGAGCTGGCAAAATCCTTGTACACAGCTATTGTCAAGGTCACTGGAGAGTGTCATCATTTCACCTTCTTCAAAGAAGGAGCAGCCAATTATTGGAGTTAAGCTTTCAGGTAGGATACTGGAGGATTGAATGCAGCAGAAACATCTCAAATAAGACGGGAATTATATTTTGATCTGATTTATCCATGTGAATTGTGGATCTTTTTGCTAGGTTATATAAATTATAATCTTTTTTCAGTATAAAGGTTAGGTGATCTTTTTGATCTGTACTTTCTTTCCTCTATGTCCTGGGAAAGAGTTTATTATTGAGTTCACGCACTTACCTCACAGCTGCAACCACTACATTCATTGCAGGGAGAGTTGTGTGACTTTCAGTACCCCAGGAATTGCCAATCAGTGCAGCAAGATGTTCAAAGACCTTGCAAGGATCCTTTAATCTTTTACTTATAAATTCTGTCTTGATGCTTCTCTCACTACAACTGATGAAGGAGCAGCTCTTAAAAAGCTAGTGTTTTCAAATAAACCTGTTGGACTATAACCTGGTGTCACGTGATTTTTGACCTTGTCCAACACACTCCAACACTGGCACCTCCACATCAAGAATCCTGAAGGAAATTTAGACACTGGTGCTGGTGTATACGTTCTATTACATACACTGCTGTCGTACTATTTCTATCAGCGCTTGGGTATCAGGGAAACTTGGAATTACAAAGGTAAACCTAGATGCTCAGGTGCTACCTTAGCTAATAACCACTGTGGTCCATAACCTGACACAGAGCTTCTTTTAGTCTTCAGGGGCATATCAAATGTATTTAACTGTTTATGTCACACTTTTTGTGTTTGCAGGTCCTGACCAAATTTTGGAGAACCCAAATCAGATCAATGGACCAGGTACAATTAGAAAACAATTGTAAAGTTGGAGATTAGATTGCAACAATCAGCCACCTGAACCTGACAGATGGTTCCAGAGATGTTTCATGGCCACAGTGACAACCGTTAATATACAAGACTCCTCCTGAAGCTTTTGCTAATCTAGTTTGGCATTTGCAAAAATAAATTGCTGTATGATCTGTGGCTATAAAAAGAAAGCTAAACTATTGTTAGATATTAGAAACAAGCCACATTTGTGTGAAATATTTGTTTGAGGCCTAAATATAACCTGTAAACTACTATAACCTGGAACAAAAACAGATGTTGCTGGAAAAGTTCAGCAGGTCTTGCAGCATCTGTAAAGGAAAATTCAGAGTTAGCGTTTCGGGTCACCGGACCTGATGTTTTTCTTCACAGATGCTGCCAGACTTGCTGAGCTTTTCCAGCAACTTCTGTTTTTGTTCCTGATTTACAGCATCCACAGTTCTTTCGGTTTTTAACTACTGTAACCTGCTTTATCGTGTCTCCTAATGCTTATCTACTATAAATAAAGCTCTTCTTTGGTTTGTAGCTTAAACAATCTAATAGAACCTTTATTCCTTCACATTTAGAGATCCAGGAAGTCATGAGGAATTACAACAGATCCATTGAGCTAAATACAGTGACAAGTGCTTCTGGTGAATGATTGAGATTACTGCATTCACAAATATGAGACATGACAGGTTTATAAACAGTGAGGGGTTATCATTAATGTCAAACACTAGAAAAACATCTAAACAATAACCTAAAAATATAACCTATGATCACAACATCATGATCAGACCAATGTTAGGCTATTGATACTTAGAAATATAAAAAATATTAACCATTACAATAGCACTGTTTAATATAAGTGCAAAATATTGATATATGATCTGACATTTAGCAGCAGTGGAAAAGAACAGAGGTGTTTATTATTTAGAAATAATTAAGTGGTATATAGCAGAAGAATAGGTGAAGGTGACAGCACTTGACATCAAGGCTGCAATAGTACGAGTATGGCATTAGTATAGCAAAACTGGAATCAGTGGAATTAGGAGGAAAAACTTTCCACTGGTTGGAATCATACCTGGCACAAAGGAAGATGGTTGCGGTTGTTAGAGATCTGTCATCTCAGCTCCAGGACACGTCTATAGCATTTTCTCAGGGTAGTGTCCTAGGTTCAACCATCTTCAGCTGCTTCATCAATGAAAATCCCTCCATCATAAGGTCAGAAGTGGGTACGTTTTCCAATGATTGCATAATATTCAGCATCATTTGCAATTCCTCAGATACTGAAGCAGTCCATTTTTAAATGCAACAAGACATGGACAATATCTAGGCTTGGGTTTTTGACATTCAATGGCATTACCATCACTGAATCCCCCACGATCATATAAATACTGTGGCTACAATAGCAGGTCAGAGGCTATAAATACTGCAGTGAGTAACTCACCTCCTGATTCCCTAAAGTCTACTGGAGCAGGAGTGTGATGGAATATTCCCCACTTGCCTGGATGAATGCAGCTCAAAGAATACTCGAGAAGCTTGACACTGTCCAGGACAAAGCAGCCCACTCGATTGGAATCGCATCTACAAGCATCCATTCCCTCCACCACCAACTCTTAATAGCAGCAGTGTGTACCATCCACCAGATGAAATGCACCAAAGATCTTTAGACAGCACCTTCCAAACCCATGACTACTTTCATCTAGAAGAACTAGGGTAGCGGATACATGGGAACACCATCACCTGCAATTTCTCCTCCAAAGCTACTCACATCATGGCTTGGAAGCTATTACCTGTTCTGAGGAAGGGTCACCAGACCTGAAACGTTAACTCTGACTTTTTTCACAGATGCTGTCAGACCTGCTGAGCTTTTCCAGCAACTTCTGTTCCTGATTTTTGTTTCTGATTTACAGCATCCACAGTTCTTTTGGTTTTTGTGGAAGATATCACCATTCCTTTAGTGTTGCTGGGTCAAAATCCTGGAATTCACTCCCTAATGGCATTGTGGGTCACTCTACAGCACATGGACTGCAGCGGTCAAGAATGCAGTTCACCACTGCAAGGGTAACTACAGATAAGCAATAAATGCTTCCCAGCCAGTGACGCCCATGCCAAATGAGAGAATGAAAAAAAAACTGAAGGGATGATAAAACCAAATGGAAATTTGGCTTGATGATAAGTTGCATTTATGAAAACTGAGGATGTTCAAGAAGTTAAAGAAGAAACTGTCAACTCAGAGAATTTTGGTGAATGGATAAACAACGGCAGTATTTATTGAAAATGGCAGGAAAACTTACATCAAATCTAATTGAAATGAGTGATAGTTCAGTCAATTGAATTCATGCTCTGATCTATGATAGAATCTAATCTGATTTTAATATTTAATGCATAGATGAAATTTTAGCATTTAAGTTAAAAAGAGAACACAAAACGTGGTCAGGAATATTGGTTCTATCACACGAGGAGCAGCTTTGTTATGCAACATAGTTAGAATATGGAATATACTGCCCAAGAGTGTTTTGTAGGATGATCCAATGGTTGTTTTCTGATGAGAATTACATAGCTATCAGCGTAAATGTATTGTAGAACTGCAGTGCAAGTGTGGTGGCATGAGACTAGCTGAGTTCTTCATCCAACATGAACTGCCAATGATTCACCATTTAATTCCAATCATAATCTATTGGATAGAGTTGAGGCTCTGGTCTTGGAAACCAAGAAATTCAATAAGGTTTGTGCTGAGTTAGATGATCTTAGCTGAGGTTGTTAATGTTGGCCTTAGCATGTTTGGGCTGAGGAATGCAAAGTTACCACTGAAAATGATCCCTGCAGAAGGTGTAGGTGTGTGGCTTAGGTTCAAATGTGATACTCTTTGCAGGCAACACTACAAGGATCATGCACAGATTGTGGCTCCTTAGCTAAAATTGCCATCTGCAACATGTGCCTGGACAACCATTCCCCCGCAAGGAGCCACATCTTTAAAAGAGTTGGATGCGGCAGGAAAGAAAATAAACTCAGCCCAATGCGTGGTATTATATGACAATAATTACAAATGAAATGAACACAAATTATTCTTTGTTAACAAAACAAGATCAAGATGATGATTTGTGTGAGGGATGATTTGTTTCAACTGAATGTGTAAGGGTGAAGCAGGAAAATACTTTCTAATTTTATGTAAAGGACTTCTGTTGGAAGGTCTAGGTGTGTAGTTCACATTCTGTTGTGATTAGACATTTGAAAGTTTGTTCTTCCCCAGAGGATTGTGCCCTGGCACTTAGCTCATGCAGTGAGTGCTGACCCCATCGAGAGAGACCTGAACTTGTTAATCATTTGGGCAGAAACCTCTACAAGACCGAGGCCCCTGTAATGTTGATTGGGTTAGTATAGTCTCCTGGACTGTGGCTGTAAAGATCAGAGAGGAATTTTCCAGAATTTAATTCCCTTATTAGCCTGAGATTTTAAGGTGGTACTTGTCCTCTTTTATGAGAACATGTGGCTTTGGAGTGGGAAGTGAATCCCAAATTGGTCTGTTCGTGATAGATTCCCAAAATGTTGAAATACAAAATAATTCAAATTATTCTGTTCTCGTCAGATTCCTAAAACGATAATGTTCCCCTTGGTATAGATATCACCAAGTCAAAGGTTGTGGGGATAGGGCAAGAAAGTAGAGTTAAGGATTATCAGATCAGCCGTTATCTCATTAAATGGCAGACCAGACTCAATGGGCTGAATGGCCTACTTATGTTTCTGTTTTTTATGGTCTTACGATCTAACATCTGAAAAAAAAACCTTTTCTTTATTACACCAATTTTTATACTGAAATCAACAGACAGCAATTTAATGACCGTGACATCAAAAGAGACCATTATTGGTCAAAAATAGTAAAAGGGCTAAAAATGAGCATGAGCAGCAAATGACTCATATCAACAAGATATAGCTGTGGGAGTATCAAAAAAATTGCATTTTCTCAATTTTGAACCAGGTTTAGAGTAAATATTAAATGTTGGTTGGCAATTTCTGGAAAGATTCATCTTATTTTGCCAATCTAATTCTGTCTTCTGCTGTAATAGCCTGGCCTGCTAAAAGTACTTTCACCTTCATTTTGCCTATCTTTAACCCTTTCATTGTATTGATATCTACATCCAGCATCCAGACCAGAAGTGGGTACAATACTGCACTGATGACCTGATTAGAGCTTTATAAAAGTTCAACAAAATTCCCTGCTTTTGCACTCAGTATTTCTACATATGGAGCCCAATGTCCCATATGCCTTTTTAGCCACTCTCTTGGTCCTTCCATCTACAAAGGTCTATGCATACAATTGGAGGAGGCTGTGATAGATCAGCCACTTGGTACTTCTGGCGAAAGATTGTTGAGAATACTTCAGCCTTATCTTTTGAACTGATATGCCGGGCTCCCCCATTATTAAGAGTGGGGACATTTGTGGAGCCTTGGGTGGCTGTATCAGTGGCTCCAAATACCTTTATGGAGATAAGACTTGGACTTAAAGATCTGGGTATTATTCTTACTTTTTGGCTTTCTTTTATATCTGCTGTTGATTTTTGTTAAATTCTGGTTTTGTAACCAAGATGGTGATAGAGAATGGCAACTTTGTACACTTTTCACTGTACTCATGTATTCCTATACTTGAGTACACAAGAAAATAAAATGCAGTTCTAAACTCCAGTGAGTTGTTACGACTGGATATTGCAGGACTGTAGAGCTTACATCTGATCCATTGTTGTAGGGTTGTTTAACGCTATCACTTGCTGCTTACACTGCTTGGCATACAAGTAGTCCTGTTTTGTAGCTCATTAGGGCAACATCTCATTTTTAGATATGCCATCCTGCACCAGGGTTGATCCTTCAGCTTGATGGTAGTGGAAGAGTGGGATTATCCTGGGCCAGGAGGTCACAGATTTTATTGGAATATGATTCAGAGTTTGTAATTGGTCACAGATTTTATTGGAATATGATTCAGAGTTGGTAATGCTAGTGAAAGTCAATGGTTAGATTTTCTCTTAGAGTTATCAAATTTTTAACAGCATAGAAAAAGACCTTTTCACCCATCATGTGACATTCCGTGACAAGAGCCCTAGCAAAACTGGAATCAATGGGTATCAGG